AGGTTGAAGTGAATAGACCAAGAAACAGACCTCGGTACAAGTATCAACTTATTATCTACTTAAGAAAACTTGAATGCTAAATTAAAGCGTAAACAGCCCTGGTTACTCAATGAAGTCGAATATTTACTTTATAAAATCAGCTATCTTTTTCACCTATTTACAACACTCAACACAACCACTCATAAACCGAGGTTTTTGGACTTTCTATTTTATACAACCAGTTTATCACGCATGATAATGCCAACTTATTAAAGGATATATATATATATACATATAATTATATATACATAAAAACCAAAGTTTTTGGACTTTCTATTTTATACTCGAACCCCGAGTGATTATAAAATAAGATAGTCCCAAGGTTTAAAAAACAAGTATAATAATTTTATTTCGTTTAAGGTGATGAAGGACTGGTAGTAGAATTTACCCACAATGATATGAGTAGAGCTGACGTTTCCATTGACTTTCACATTGCCTTGCTTTCCCAAAAGTTGTTCTCATCAGCTCTACTCATAGCATTGTGGGTAAATTCTAATACCAGTCCTTCATCACCTTAAAAGAAATATGGTAAATACATCTCATATTACTGATTTACTGGTGTCTCGAAACTCTACTCAAACACGAAAAAAATAATAATTTTGTTGGTTTCTCATACTATTATGCAAACTAGCGAAATTGCACGTAGGGTGGCAGTATTACACGCCAAATTGCATGTATGCAATTACACGCTTATTTCATTACAAATTATACTTTACGCCAGGAAGGTTTTTGATTTTAGGGTGTTTTAGCCTACGTATGACGTTACATCATCTATTAAATTCGTCAAAGTTCATTAGAAAACGAGAGCAAAGTATAGCCTAGCCATGGAAGGACAAGGTGAAATTTAGATTCTTCGTTTGGCATTCTCCCCTACTTAAAGAAAAGGCATGAATTCTGCTGTGAATGTAACCATAACCTCCATTGTTTTTTTTGGCATGAGGGGCATCATACAGGTACTACTGTGACCGGATAAAAGTAGGTCATTTCAGTTCGTTTAAACAAATAACTTTGTGGCAATTAAGACATCTGTATGGTTAAGACACCGAGGATGCGCACCAATTCGCAAGGCTCACTTTGGGAGGATTCAAATACATCGCGGTTATTTCAATTTTCCCCAACTGGGCGTTAAGTTATGGAAGACATTAAATGGTTTCCGAGGAGTTGCAGAACAGGTTTCTTCAACAAGTCCTACCTTTTTGGAAAAGCTGGTACGAATATAGCCTAGCAACTCTGTCCCTACGCCCCCCCACACACACACATGCTCCTGTAAGCCTTGCCTGACAATTGCATTTGAGGACCTCATTGCATTAGTAAAAAAGTTTTTTTCAAGTGATTTTCTTCTTATTTTTATACAATTTTCTTAACGTTTTTATTTGTTCCAAACACAGCGTTTTAAAATTAAACAACTCAAATCCATCAAAGCCAAGTCTCAGTCTAGAATCGTATTCACTCTGCAGATGATAGAGGGTTTTGAAGATTCAATTTCCGTTTATCCTTCTTTACCCACAACAAGGTAATCTGCGTTTTGTCGAAACATTCGTCAAATGATCATCACCGCTTCCTCAGCACCTCATCGGAGATGGTCTCCATGCTGCTCACTCTCTGACACTAACTCGCTAAAACGAACCGGGAAGCAGCAAGCTCTTCGTCTCAATCTCTCTAACTCAGGAATCCGGATTTTTGGTATGCCAAATTATAGACAGACAAGAAAACACACATAAACCAAATGGCGAATCCACTCCCCTTTAAAGCGGAAATGAGTCTGGGCAGTCCAGAGCACTTAGATCATCGCATTCGTGGAAAAGTTCGATGCGGCCGCTCATCCTTGACCCTTCAATCGTGGTACCCACAATCGAGACGAGAGCTGCGCCTGCAAAATCCACCATTTCTCGAAGCTCGAGTAGCCTCTTCTGATGGAACAGGCAAAGCCCACTCCGCGATTCTTATCAAGTCCAGCCTGTGTTTGAGTGATGCTAAAAAGCCTGATGACCGTAAGTGAAATTGCCGGCTAGCCGCAAAAATTCCAGCCTCCCCGCCCGTTCATGACATCGTCTATTCAAGGGCTTTCTGGAAAATATAAAATGTATTTAATCCCATTTATAAGCTGTAAAATATGAAGAGCATGACCGCACTTGGAGCTGTTTGGAGCGCATGTGTTAAAGGAATTTAGGACTTTGTTAATTGAGCACAAGGCTCTGGAGATTAGTTGGGTAATTAAAGGGGAGCCGGGCAGTTTTAAAAGCCCAATTCGCTTCCTCCTCCCCGTTAGAAGGAATGCGCCAAATACAGTTTTCGCATACCCTTGTTCGCCATGGCCGACCGGAAAAACCGGGACTAAACACATTTGGCCCCTTTAGTTAGAG